CGGAAGAGCTCTTAGTGAAGCAGGATGGCAGAGCCATACTGCAGAGCAGATGCAGGACAAAGAGCAGCACCACACAAAGAAGTGCAGTCAGCTGGTAATCCTGAAGATGACTGTGCTGGGTTGGTTTGGATGAGCACGTCAGCAATGAGGTAGCAGGTATGACTTTACCAGTGCCTCTGGCTAGGATAAGTACACCTGAAATTCTCATTGTGTTGCTCCTCAGGCCTTAGCAAACATGGCTTGCAATCCATCTCAATTATGATTTTCTGTCAAGAGGAAGTTTTTGTTGCTTCCTCACTTCACCCCGCCTCGCAAATCTAGAGGCTGCCAGGCTGCCCTGCAACGTCGGGGGCAAGCAGAGAATAAATGGAGAAACATGCTGCAAAATAATTGCCTTTACACTGAGCATTTACTTGCCCAGACAAAGGGAAGAGAAGCGAGGGCTGCTTGGCTGCATTGGGCTACACTGCATAATACCCAGAATGTTTGATTACTTACTTAGACCCTGTCAGTTCTTCTCCTTTCTGTGGGCAGCTGTTGGCCCCTGTCACAAAGGAAAGCTGGGGCCCACCTTCCTTCTCAGGAAAGGGTTGTACTTCTGTTGAGTCCTCTACCCATTGCTTCTTGCAGTGCTTGGCAGCCCTTTAAAAGGGTGTGAACCTAAATCAGTGCTTGAGGGAGCTGGCTGGCAAGTAAAGTTGTGCTGGACTGGGAGAGCTCAGCATGGCCCCAGTACCTCCAATGATGAATCAGGCTCTCAGTCACTGTCCCATTAAAAGAGGGTGGCCTGTGATGGACATAGATTTAAGGGAAATACTTTTTACTTCAAAATGTAAAATGATTTTTAAATGCAGAAATTATCTATTTAGGTACTTTCATACACAGTTAACTGAGAAAACTTGGAGAAACAGAGGATAACAGCTTAAGGGTCATTAATAGCTGGATGAAAAGGGAGGGTTTAGCTGAGGAGAGACTCTCCAGAAATCAGAGTCCTGCTGCTCCTCTAGTGAAACAGCCAGGTGCTATTCTCAGAGCTGGGCAGCTGACTCCTGTGAGGAAGCTGGTTGATAAAAGGAAGCTGTCTGCAATCAGGGTTGGCAATTACCTGCTGGATTGTCAGGGGCTCAGTGGAAAAGGACTATGACTCTACACCCAGAAACATCCAGGTATTTATAAATATTTTTTAGCTGTGATTTTTATGCCCTAATTTGACCAGAGATACTTTCTGCTGTATAACTCTATATGTTCTAAAATGTACTAAAAACATACGAACATAAAAGTAGTTTGCATTTTTTGCAGTTGTTGAATTAAAATGTAATTTGTTCTGTGTGAAAAAATATTCAGAATTTCCTTTAAGCTTAAAAATGGCAACTTAGTTAGTAGTTGGGTCAAGTTTTTGGCTTGGTTCAGGACTATTTGTATGTATTTGACAGCAGAAGGACATTTGAGCTGGCTGCAACAGCCACTCAGAAGGAGGAAACTTTTTTAGCTAAATAAAGGCCCCAAATACTTGACCTTGGGCGTGTGCTACAGAGAGAACAGATCTTGTGAGTAGTGAGGACAAAAGAAGGCAGCAAATTAACTTATTTTTGCTGCTTATTCCCTGCTTTTAACTTTAGAAATACACTCTCTGGATTGTGGGAAAATGGTCTGCGACATGTATGGTACCTTTCTTTCTAAACTGAATTATAAATTAAATATAACTTTAGAGTTGCAAAATGTTTCTGGTCAGAAATGTGATTTAGAAAGACATAATGTGAATAGTATCTCTTTGCTAAAACTGAATGCAGAATCTGGATGGCAATTATAGGAGTTAGACTTGCTGAAGTTAGACTTGTGATTAGTTAGACTTGTGATTTAACCTGTAGCTGGAGTGTAAGTTTTGTTTGTCATTAATTTTGTTGATGGATTTGGAGAGGTGATTGACTGTATCCATTTTTATTTCTAACCAACAGACCAGTGACAAGAAGATGGCATTTTGAAAAAGTGGAGGATATCTAAAATTACATCTCTTGTTTTCCCTTGGCTACCATATAAGCAAGAGTTCAGAGTTGGCAGTGGGATGTGAAACGATGAAATGGTATTGATAATATATGTAGGTTTTTAAAATCACAGCTCCTGGTTCTGGTTGATGATGTGAGTTAACTGTTTTTTCTAGAAAGCTGTATGTATGGCATTTCAATGGTTGCAACATGACCTAGCTGCTCTTATAGGCTAAGGTGCTCTGCTCTGGCAGACCTTTAACACAGAGCCTGAGACTAACAGGATTTAATGGAGAAATCATGCTGAAGATCTTAACTTACCTGCTGACTTCTGGAAGGATAAGAATCCTTTTCTTGAAGTGATCATTCTTGTGGCCTGAACGTTTGGTGGTCGACAATTTATTGTCCATCTGCTTGGAGGCCAGATTGGGAAATCTTCCTTAAAAAGTGCTTGAGAGATGGTTGTTTAATGTCAAATCCTTTACCAAGGCAAAGAATTTAAGTGTCCATGTAGTTTGGAAACCATCAAGTGATCGCTTCTAACATGCCTGGGATCTAGCAGGCTGGATACTAATTTAAGTAGCTCAGATTAAGGTCTAGTTAGAGATCTGTTTTGGTAACTGGTTTTAAAGAGACTGTCTGTCTAATCATTTTCCATATTGCTTTGTGTGTGCTGTTGTATCTGGTTTTGGTTGTGGTTTTGCTTTACTTTGTTTTGTTGTGTTATTTTTTTTAATTGTGGGTAGGCTGAACAATAAGATCCTCATCACGCTGAAGGAGCAATAGTTTGATTC